TATTATTATTATTATTATTATTATTATTATTATTATTATTATTATTATTATTATTATTATTATTATTATTATTATTATTATTATTATTATTATGTTTCATGATTGGACAGCTACTTTTATAACTATCCAAGTTAAATATAAAAGTAGGAGGAACTATACCCATTTCCAGACTCCCAGCACTCAGATAGAGGGGGAGTGAGAGGATTGGTAAGATTGTATGGGATCAGTGAAGAACATTTTGTCCCCCTTGCTTCCTGCTACAGTTACAGATAGCAAAGCTCAACTTGTACAACACTCTCCTTGTTTTGCAAAATAAAAAATATTGTTTGTTTTGAAATATACTCTGCAAGTGGAGATTTTGGCAGGTTTGGAATAAAGAATTTTGCCATATAAAGCCTGATTGCTCTGAGAGATACACCTTAAGCTTTACATGGGTTACTTATATACATAAAGACATTGGTGTTCTGGTATACCAGTTGATGTTCAAATCAATAGTTTGGTAGTTTCAGTTGCCGTGGGAAAGTAATGTGGCAGCTGCTTTCACCTATTTCTCTTTGCCTGACATGCCATTGGAAGAGAAATATCCCATATAGAGTGAAGCAGTACCATTCTGTGTAACCCATGAATTATGAGGCAGCTATCTATCTGTCTAGAGCAGTGGTGGCGAACCTATGGCACGGGTGCCAGAGGTGGCACTCAGAGCCCTCTCTGTGGGCACACGCACTATCGCTCCAGTCCTAGGCCTTCAGCTGGGTTTTATAAAACCTTTTCACTTTAGGCCTCCGGCGCCGTGTGCAAAAAAGAAAAAGGTTCAATCAGTCAATTTCAACTTCTCGCAGGAAAAAAAAAGATCTTGCAAAGTTGGAATTGATTGATTGAACTTTTTAGTCCCACCCAGTCTGCCATTACCACTGCAGCCACGCCCACCCAATTGGCCACGTCCACACAATGGGCCACACCCAGCCAATGGGCCACACCCACCCGGCACTCGACGATGCATAAGTGGGTTTTGGGTTGCAGTTTGGGCACTCAGTCTCTAAAAGGTTCGCCATCACTGTTCTAGAGTGTCCATCTAGAGTGTTTATCTACAGCATCTATCTATCTATTTGACTTAGCATTCCAAGTTAGAGTGTTTCTGGAGTGTTTCATGATTGGGCAGCTACTTTTATATTTAACATGGATATTTTATTTTATTCTGGTTTTAATTTTAAAGCCTTTTGTAAATTGCCTAGAGTTATACTGTGTGGTATAAAAATATTATCTTTCTTTCACTTGTTATTTCATATATTCTATTCCTTTTAGGAATAATCTGCCAAATTCACATTTTGTTTTTGAGTTGTTCGTCCATCGATTTCGATGAAGACCTTGACATCTTATGGATTATGGGTCATCAACGGTGTGTCCGTAGATGGCTGATAAGACCGATGTTAGCACGGAATGTTCTGCCACATACTGAACAGAGAAATGTGGACACTATTGCTTCAGCATTTGCAGCTCTGGCTTTATGGAGTGCTCGCTTCTTTTGTTTTTACTAAGATAAAGAAGGATTAGACTAAATTACCAACCTTGACTACCCCCATACCAAATGCAGCATTCTTTGCTAATGATTCGGACAATGTCAGTCAGTTTGGCACATTTTGGTCAGTCTGCCATAAACTTAATCAAACCAAATTTGACCCCAGTCATGCTTACACCATTCTATGCAAGCTATGTATCTAATCTAGAGATTTACAAGTCAACATACTGTTCAATGTATCCCAACAGCTTGGAGATACAAGCAATGTAATGACCTATACTCAGGATGCACAAGTTCACCCAACCCAATGATACCATTTGTAAGCATTTTTAAGGCTGCCATCATGTAAATAATAACAACCTAATCAACTGCGAGTAGATAAATAGGCACCACTTCAGAAGCAATTTAATGGGGACATGATAGGAGCACCCCAACTGGGTGTTCCCTAGGCAGCAGTGTTGTCACTGATCAATCCTTTCAATGTGGAAGCACTTCAGTATTCCCAACACAAACTTAGTATTAGCAGAAAACAGACCAAAATCAAAAATACCTTTATTACTTGATTATTTGCTTAAGAGCAAATAACAAAGCCAAAGGGAACAAAGCTTGAGAGGGAATCCCATAGACAGTATAGCCTTCTACATGCAAAGAGCTACTTATTTTTGTGAACAAGCTCTTCCAATACATTGATATAAAATAATAGATGAGCCATGGCAGGGGTGAATCTAAAAGCACAATCCCACTCTGTGTGCAGCACAGCAAGGTTGTGTAGATAAATAATGTATATAAATACTGTGAAAGTTGCTTTCTGTCTTGCAGTTCTAAAAATAAAATGGGTATCTTCAATAACCATTTCTAAAAATGAATAAATGTGATCTTTTCTGAGATAATTTTAAGCAAAATGCTCCATTGCTTCACCAACTGGTTTCCAGCAGATCCTTCATGTCCAAACTGCTTTGGCTTCAGGCCACATGTGGCTTGTGTCATTTTGCTGCATAAATAGGACCAAGGCCAAACCACAGAAGATGTTCAGAGATCTGTTACAGGGATGCTAAAAGTCATCTCTGAATGTCCCTCAAAGTTTTTTAGGATAAGAACACCTCATAGCCTAACAGAAAGATCTTATCCCAGGCCAATGCCAGTCTTTCCAATTCCCTGGAAGACATGAGTCAGGACTCTCCCTTTTCCAGCCTCTGACTCACTAACTATAAAGGAGATTCTACATACAGTTCAGGGCTCTGTAAAAAGCTCTCTGGAGAAAGTGGATAACAAGAATAAATCCCCGCCAGAAAAAGCACAGTTTGGCTTTGGTGGGTCCAAAGGGAACAAGTTTTCAAGCATCAAAGGAGGGTAGAGCTGGAAAGATTGTATGTAACAACCACAGGAACACCCAGCAAAGTTTGGAACTACAGCTGGACCAGGCACAATTATTTATCCAGCAAGTATCATGCTAGATTTCAAAGGCTGCCTGATATGACAGATTACCATTGGTAGAAAAGCCATGTTTACTACAGAGGATTAATGGGATTCTTTGTTTTGAGTGGCCAGTTGAGGGAATATTTCAGGACTGTCAAAATACAGCCAATGTGTTTTCCAATGAAAGATGGGCAGGATGAGTAGATTCAAGGGGAAACAAATGAAGAGTTTCTTAATTCCCCCATCAGGAAGAGTCTGAGAGCAGCTTTTCAAACTAACACATTTTATTCAAAGGCATAAGCTTCATGAACTACAGTTCCCTTCATTAGAAGGAGAACAGCTACACTGATACAGAATCTCAGCAAGGACGAGGTGTTGGTTTAACCACTTCATGCATCCAATGAAGTGAAATACAGCTCATTAAAAAACTTATGCCTGTTAATTAAATGTCTTACTCTGAAAAGCTGTTCCCAGATTCCTCCTGATTTTGGGCAACCATAGAGCAACATGGCTCCCCTCTTATGATGTCTTTGTTCCCAGTGAGTATTGGCTGAAAGCTCCTGCAGGAAACAAGAATCTAGAGAAAACCTATATGCAACTGTACCTAAGAATTAAATTCCAAAACCTAAAATACCATGAAAGTATTGGAAACAGCAAGGTAAAAGTTGGTGGAGAATATTAGTTAGTCATTGGGGATATCCTTTATTTCTTTGAAGCACTGTTAGCTCAGCTTTGAGTAGTTTTATTTCCTATCCTATTCCCTGTTTATTTCTTTTGCTCAGATGGCTAACTCAGCCATGGAATTTTATGTAAAATTAAGTTCAACCTATACTCAAATCTCCATGTTGCTGCTTTTAGTAAAATGAAAACCATTTCCTTGATCATTCCTACTTTGAGTTTGTAAGCTGTAACTGCAGATTTTAAAACTATTTTGACAGTTAACCCTGGGTATGAAGGTAAAAACTGCAGCCATTCGCTTAAAACTTTGTCCCTGGGAAAGAGGGGTCTCCTTCTCTGCCTGTCCAGATTCCAGGCATCTCCTCATCCAAGAACAAACCGTGTGTCAGGTTCTAAAAAACAAGAAATACCTGTTGAGATTCTTCTAAGCAGGTACCTTTACTGTTCCTCACCTACAGACAGATATCTAGCCAAAGCTAAAGCAGACCTTACACCATAAAACATATACTCTGGTAACTATTGGGGAGAAGCCATCTTCACCCTCTTTCTCTCACATAAATTGTCTAAACTGTGTTGTCTCTTGCTCTTCTGGAATGCACTCCCATGCTCCTGGGAATCTGAACCACATTCCATCACACTGTGGCACTATAACCTGCTTGGGTGGGACCCTTTTATCTGCAGGAACTATACCCAGACCTCCAGCACTCAGATAGAGGGGGAGTGAGAGAATTGGTAAGGTTGTATGGGTATTAGTGAAAAACACTTTGTCCCCTTTGCTTCCTGCTACAGTTAAAGATAGCAAAGCTCAACTTGTACAACACTCTCCTTGTTCTGCAAAATAAAAAAATGTTGACTATTTTGAAACATATTCTGCAAATTGAGATTTTGGCAGGTTTAGAATAAAGAATTTTGCCATATAAAGCCTGATTGCTCTGAGAGATACACCTTAAGCTTTACATGGATTCCTTATATACATAAAGACATTGGTGTTCTGGTATACCAGTTGATATTCAAATCAATAGTTTGATAGTTTCAGCTGCTGTGAGAAAGTAATTTGGCAGCTGCCTTCACCTATTTCTCTTTGCCTGACATGCCATCGGAAGAGAAATAGCCCATGTAAATAGAGTGAAGCAGTGCCATTTTGGACTACTGCAATGCTCTCTACATGGGGCTCCCCTTGAGGAGCACTCGGAGGCTCCAGTTAGTCCAGAATGCAGCCGCGCGAGCGGTGATGGGAGTGACTCGTCGCTCCCATGTAACGCCGCTGCTGCGCGAACTGCACTGGCTACCGGTGGCTTTTCGGGTGCGCTTCAAGGTGTTGATTATCATCTTTAAAGCGCG